AATGTGGAATTTATCGAAGTCCCCACAATGCAATTACGCAGGTTTAGTACACACGCAGTGTAAAAAATGCACGGAGCATTGTGAGGACTTGTGCAAGAACTTTCACATTGTGGGGACTTAACCTCAGGTCCCCATAAAGACATTCCTACGAGTTTTTATCACACTGTATATATAAAATGTCACGCCATAGTACCAGAGTCTCGATTTTCTTTTTTCAGGAATATTTTGTTAAAATACACATGTACAAAGTATATGTGACAGCTGAATGGAGAAATAGTGAAATGATGAAAAAGATTAAAATTGATTTGGCAAATCATTGTGCAAGGCAAATCCTTTATTGGTAATTTGCCTCTAAAAACTCACATTTTTAAACTTATTCATAATGTTGGTTTCAAGTTGATATTTATATCCATGAAGTTTCACCTCGAGGATTACGTTCCTCCCCCGAAATTAGATAGTGTTTAGATATAGATATAGATATAGCGCCATTTTGAAAACTAACATATAATAACATTTCAATCTTGATAACCAAAAAAGTGCAGCATTCAAACATTTAAACCTGATGATAATAATAATACAATTTTTACTTTGTTATTCCAAGTGGTAGTGTTTTAATTTGGTCACTGAATACAACAGAATAGCGAATGCTGGAATATCTGTATAGAGCCGAGGTCTATTAGACTTAGGTTATTATATTTTTAGTAGAAAAATTTTGCATGTATTAGGCATGAATTGCGAAACGGGTTTGTCATATTTAACTAATCATTTTTAGTGTTGTAACATTTTATGCAGTATTGTGATGAGTGGCGAAAATTGAAACAAGTCATTAAGGCCTCTTTTCCACTCATCGTAAAATCAACTCGCATCTAATTAAAATAGACTGACAAGCATTGTGATTGGACGAAGCTAATCGCAGCAAGCTTGCGAGTAAGTTTTTGCGATGAGTGGGTGAGGGCCTAGCCAGTAAGTCAGGCAGTCATAGTGTAAACTTTCCGGGTAGATTGGTTAATGCTTATAGTAATTTTTTGTTCATGTTCAGTTATGTAAAGTTTATAAATCAGTTTAACTTGATTTATTTATTAATTCGCTGCCCCTTTTGCTAAGGGTGAGTTTTTTTACTCACCCTGTGGTGCATGTAGTCACAGTTGCTTGACGAAGAGATAATTGCGCCCGCTTTGCATGAGAAGCTAAAATAATAATTTCAATAATGACAATATCGCCTCTAAAGTACTTTTAGTAGTTTGAGTAATTTCCTGTTTGATTAAGAGTAATTAACTAGTTCTTTATATTTTTAGGACAAACATCTGGTTGCTTAGGTATTAGAGGGCATGGAAACTTTGATCCCTACTCTCTCTTGTCATCCGCGAGTATTATTTTAAAAACTATCTACAGCGATTGAACTTAGATTTTTTACAAGATACTACAACTAGATTAACCAAATTAACCTGGATTACTATGCTGACACAAATCATTACAGACGTGTTGAAAACTTGTAGGGATGACTTTATGGGGACCTGAGTGTACAGTAAGTCCTCACAATGTGAAAGTTCTTGAACAAGTCCTGATGTGTTGAAAACTTGTAGCAATGACTTTATGGGGACCTGAGTGTACAGTAAGTCCTCACAGTGTAAAAGTTCTTGCACAAGTCCTGTTGTGTTGAAAACTTGTAGGGATGACTTTATGGGGACCTGAGTGTACAGTAAGTCCTCACAATGTGAAAGTTCTTGAACAAGTCCTGAGTGTGGTTGAAAACTTGTAGGGATGACTTTATGGGGACCTGAGTGTACAGTAAGTCCTCACAATGTGAAAGTTCTTGAACAAGTCCTGATGTGTTGAAAACTTGTAGGGATGACTTTATGGGGACCTGAGTGTACAGTAAGTCCTCACATTGTAAAAGTTCTTGCACAAGTCCTGATGTGTTGAAAACTTGTAGGGATGACTTTATGGGGACCTGAGTGTACAGTAAGTCCTCACAATGTAAAAGTTCTTGCACAAGCCCTGATGTGTTGAAAACTTGTAGGGATGACTTTATGGGGACCTGAGTGTACAGTGAGTCATCACAGTGTAAAAGTTCTTGCACAAGTCCTGATGTGTTGAAAACTTGTAGCAATGACTTTATGGGGACCTGAGTGTACAGTAAGTCCTCACAGTGTGAAAGTTCTTGAACAAGTCATCAAAATGCAACAAATCACGTGGTGTGGGAAAGTGGATGAGTTCACAAGTCAACACTTGATTAGAGCAGATAAAGTCCGTATAGGACTTCACAACCATGAAGGACAGCACCTAATACCGTTACATACAGTTATGAATCGCACCCAAGATGAAGACAGTATAACTGTTTTGATTGAAGATAATATATACAGCAACTGTATATAATTAACAAACTGTTGGGAAGGGGCATTTAAACTATTTTTTACAACACTTTTCTTACAATTTGCAATGCAATTCTACTCCTGAGGCATCTAAACTTGTCAAATACGAACATTTAATAAAATCTGCTAACTTTCGAACACTGGTTACAAATCAACATGCCTCAAAATTATAATTGCACAAAGAGTTGCAAGAAAATTGCATAGTGTAACAGTGACAGAGTAGATTTTGTTAAATGTTAACAAAAATTGTAATAAACTTACCACATGCATCATTTAAAAACTCTCAGTCAAAGTTTGCTTAATAGTGATCTTTTAAATGGGTTAATGTAACAAAGGTCAAAAGGATTTCTCACATGTTCCATCCTAAAAATATATATTGCAGCGAAAAAGATGTTAGGAGTAAAATAGATGCTATTCCATCTTAAATAGCAAATATATTGCCTATGCTGTGTTTATAAAGTGTCACTATAAAAAGATATAAATAACTAAGAGTTAAAGACACAGACAGGAAAAATAACTTACCAAAATGATTTGCTGTAAAAGTATACGAATGTGCTGTGAAACAGTCAGTCTAAGAAACAGAGAATTGTGTTAAGTGATTATATTATCCATAGGAAAAAGAAATATGTCCATGTCAGAAACTTGCATGGCCACGTACTTGGCTTGTCATATAGCCAAAATAAGAATATGCTTGCATTTTGTATTTGAAAGTCATCTAAAGCACAGTAGCAGCAATGAGGGAGGGACTCTATCGCACTTAAAACTTTATCGTGTTTTTTAAAACAGAATCTCTCAAGAATTTTGATAGGCAGACTATTTACAGGTGCATTAGGTGCGTAGGTGCGAGATTACACCCTTTCAAGATATAAGGGTTCAGAGTTATATAACCTAAGGATCCAAAGATATAAAGTTTCAGTGCCCTCCCAATGCATTAAATGAGCCAACATGACGTCTGTGACAAAATAATTTAACTTCTGCTCATGCAACTCGCAGTATACAGTTTCAAAGAACTTAAATCATGTTCCCTGCAATATCCAATTGCATTATTGAATTCTATTCTAAGTTGCTCATGCGTTGCTCATTGCATATTTTTTCTTTGTCTTCTTTTGTATTTTTTGTGTCTAAAGGTCTATTGCACAGTGCCCCATGCATGTGGTGCATTGGATTTAAACGAAAAATTAAAATCGTCAAATAGAGGGTTACATTTCTAATAATATGGTGCATGGAAGAACACGAAGAAATGTTCAAAAGATGCCAGCAATTCGCTTTAGAAACATGCATGGAGTTACAATAAAGTTACAGAATTACAAAATTGGTCGCAAACGGGGACGACTCAGCAATAGACAATTTATATGCACTGAATCGACCATCATTTGATTCAGAACAAACAATCAAGGGGTGACAGAATTTGAACACTAATTAATATCCTAGGAATCCAAAGCATAAAAGTAAAATAGATATTATTCCATCATAAATAGCAAATATATTGCCTATGCCGTGTTTATAAAGTGTCACTATAAAAAGATATAAATAACTAAGAGTTAAAGACACAGACAGGAAAAATAACTTACCAAAATGATTTGCTGGAAAAGTACACGAATGTGCTGTGAAACAGTCAGTCTAAGAAACAGAGAATTGTGTTAAGTGATTATATTATCCATAGGAAAAACAAATATGTCCATGTCAGAAACTTGCATGGCCACGTACTTGGCTTGTCATTTAGCCAAAATAAGAATATGCTTGCATTTTGTATTTAAAAGTCATCTAAAGCACAGTAGCAGCAATGAGGGAGGGACTCTATCGCACTTAAAACTTTATCGTGTTTTTTAAAACAGAATCTCTCAAGAATTTTGATAGGCAGACTATTTACAGGTGCATTAGGTGCGTAGGTGCGAGATTACACCCTTTCAAGATATAAGGGTTCAGAGTTATATAACCTAAGGATCCAAAGATCCAAAGTTTCAGTGCCCTCCCAATGCATTAATGAGCCAACATCACGTCTGTCGCAAAATAATTTTAACTTCTGCTCATGCAACTCGTAGTATACAGTACTCAACATGCATCATTGTTCCCTGCAATATTCAATGCATTATTGAATTCTATTCTAAGTTGCTCATGCATTGCTCATTGCATATTTTTTCTTTGTCTTCTTTTGTCTTTTTTTGTGTCTAAAGGTCTATTGCAAAGTGCCCCATGTGGTGCATTGGATTTAAACGAAAAGGTGAAAATCGTCAAATAGAGGGTTACATTTCTAATAATATGGTGCATGGAAGAACACGAAGAAATGTTCAAAAGATGCCAGCAATTCGCTTTAGAAACATGCATGGAGTTACAATAAAGTTACAAAATTACAAAATTGGTCGCAAACGGGGACGACTCAGCAATAGACAATTTATATGCACTGAATCGACCATCATCTGATTCAGAACAAACAATCAAGGGTGACAGAATTTGAACACTAATTAATATCCTAGGAATCCAAAGCATAAGAGTAAAATAGATATTATTCCATCTTAAATAGCAAAATATTGCCTATGCTGTGTTTATAAAGTGTCACTATAAAAAGATATAAATAACTAAGAGTTAAAGACACAGACAGGAAAAAGAACTTACCAAATGATTTGCTGTAAAAGTATACGAATGTGCTGTGAAACAGTCAGTCTAAGAAACAGAGAATTGTGTTAAGTGATTATATTATCCATAGGAAAAACAAATAAGTCCATGTCAGAAACTTGCATGGCCACGTACTTGGCTTGTCATATAGCCAAAATAAGAATATGCTTGCATTTTGTATTTAAAAGTCATCTAAAGCACAGTAGCAGCAATGAGGGAGGGACTCTATCGCACTTAAAACTTTATCGTGTTTTTTAAAACAGAATCTCTCAAGAATTTGATAGGCAGACTATTTACAGGTGCATTAGGTGCGTAGGTGCGAGATTACACCCTTTCAAGATATAAGGGTTCAGAGTTATAACCTAAGGATCCAAAGATCCAAAGTTTCAGTGCCCTCCCAATGCATTTGAATGACCCCATCACGTCTGTCGCAAAATAATTTTAACTTCTGCTCAACTCGTTATACAGTACTCAAAGAACTTAAATCATGCATGTTCCCTGCAATATTCAATTGCATTAGAATTCTATTTAAGTTGCTCATGCATTGCTCATTGCATATTTTTCTTTTTCTTTGTATTTTTTTTGTGTCTAAAGGTCTATTGCAAAGTGCCCCATGTGGTGCATTGGATTTAAACGAAAAGGTGAAAATCGTCAAATAGAGGGTTACATTTCTAATAATATGGTGCATGGAAGAACACGAAGAAATGTTCAAAAGATGCCAGCAATTCGCTTTAGAAACATGCATGGAGTTACAATAAAGTTACAAAATTACAAAATTGGTCGCAAACGGGGACGACTCAGCAATAGACAATTTATATGCACTGAATCGACCATCATCTGATTCAGAACAAACAATCAAGGGGTGACAGAATTTGAACACTAATTAATATCCTAGGAATCCAAAGCATAAGAGTAAAATAGATATTATTCCATCTTAAATAGCAAATATATTGCCTATGCTGTGTTTATAAAGTGTCACTATAAAAAGATATAAATAACTAAGAGTTAAAGACACAGACAGGAAAAATAACTTACCAAAATGATTTGCTGGAAAAGTATACGAATGTGCTGTGAAACAGTCAGTCTAAGAAACAGAGAATTGTGTTAAGTGATTATATTATCCATATAGGAAAAACAAATATGTCCATGTCAGAAACTTGCATGGCCACGTACTTGGCTTGTCATTTAGCCAAAATAAGAATATGCTTGCATTTTGTATTTAAAAGTCATCTAAAGCACAGTAGCAGCAATGAGGGAGGGACTCTATCGCACTTAAAACTTTATCGTGTTTTTTAAAACAGAATCTCTCAAGAATTTTGATAGGCAGACTATTTACAGGTGCATTAGGTGCGTAGGTGCGAGATTACACCCTTTCAAGATATAAGGGTTCAGAGTTATATAACCTAAGGATCCAAAGATCCAAAGTTTCAGTGCCCTCCCAATGCATTAATGAGCCAACATCACGTCTGTCGCAAAATAATTTTAACTTCTGCTCATGCAACTCGTAGTATACAGTACTCAAAGAACTTAAATCATGTTCCCTGCAATATTCAATATCATTATTGAATTCTATTTTAAGTTGCTCATGCGTTGCTCATTGCATATTTTTTCTTTGTCTTTTTTTGTATTTTTTTTGTGTCTAAAGGTCTATTGCACAGTGCCCCATGTGGTGCATTGGATTTAAACGAAAAAATGAAAATCGTCAAATAGAGGGTTACATTTCTAATAATATGGTGCATGGAAGAACACGAAGAAATGTTCAAAAGATGCCAGCAATTCGCTTTAGAAACATGCATGGAGTTACAATAAAGTTACAGAATTACAAAATTGGTCGCAAACGGGGACGACTCAGCAATAGACAATTTATATGCACTGAATCGACCATCATTTGATTCAGAACAAACAATCAAGGGGTGACAGAATTTGAACACTAATTAATATCCTAGGAATCCAAAGCATAAAAGTAAAATAGATATTATTCCATCATAAATAGCAAATATATTGCCTATGCCGTGTTTATAAAGTGTCACTATAAAAAGATATAAATAACTAAGAGTTAAAGACACAGACAGGAAAAATAACTTACCAAAATGATTTGCTGGAAAAGTACACGAATGTGCTGTGAAACAGTCAGTCTAAGAAACAGAGAATTGTGTTAAGTGATTATATTATCCATAGGAAAAACAAATATGTCCATGTCAGAAACTTGCATGGCCACGTACTTGGCTTGTCATATAGCCAAAATAAGAATATGCTTGCATTTTGTATTTAAAAGTCATCTAAAGCACAGTAGCAGCAATGAGGGAGGGACTCTATCGCACTTAAAACTTTATCGTGTTTTTTAAAACAGAATCTCTCAAGAATTTTGATAGGCAGACTATTTACAGGTGCATTAGGTGCGTAGGTGCGAGATTACACCCTTTCAAGATATAAGGGTTCAGAGTTATATAACCTAAGGATCCAAAGATCCAAAGTTTCAGTGCCCTCCCAATGCATTAATGAGCCAACATCACGTCTGTCGCAAAATAATTTTAACTTCTGCTCATGCAACTCGTAGTATACAGTACTCAAAGAACTTAAATCATGCATGTTCCCTGCAATATTCAATTGCATTATTGAATTCTATTCTAAGTTGCTCATGCATTGCTCATTGCATATTTTTTCTTTGTCTTCTTTTGTATTTTTTTTGTGTCTAAAGGTCTATTGCAAAGTGCCCCATGTGGTGCATTGGATTTAAACGAAAAAATGAAAATCGTCAAATAGAGGGTTACATTTCTAATAATATGGTGCATGGAAGAACACGAAGAAATGTTCAAAAGATGCCAGCAATTCGCTTTAGAAACATGCATGGAGTTACAATAAAGTTACAGAATTACAAAATTGGTCGCAAACGGGTACGACTCAGCAATAGACAATTTATGCACTGAACCGACCATCATTTGATTCAGAACAAACAATCAAGGGGTGACAGAATTTGAACACTAATTAATATCCTAGGAATCCAAAGCATAAGAGTAAAATAGATATTATTCCATCTTAAATAGCAAATATATTGCCTATGCTGTGTTTATAAAGTGTCACTATAAAAAGATATAAATAACTAAGAGTTAAAGACACAGACAGGAAAAATAACTTACCAAAATGATTTGCTGTAAAAGTATACGAATGTGCTGTGAAACAGTCAGTCTAAGAAACAGAGAATTGTGTTAAGTGATTATATTATCCATAGGAAAAACAAATATGTCCATGTCAGAAACTTGCATGGCCACGTACTTGGCTTGTCATATAGCCAAAATAAGAATATGCTTGCATTTTGTATTTAAAAGTCATTTAAAGCACAGTAGCAGCAATGAGGGAGGGACTCTATCGCACTTAAAACTTTATCGTGTTTTTTAAAACAGAATCTCTCAAGAATTTTGATAGGCAGACTATTTACAGGTGCATTAGGTGCGTAGGTGCGAGATTACACCCTTTCAAGATATAAGGGTTCAGAGTTATATAACCTAAGGATCCAAAGATCCAAAGTTTCAGTGCCCTCCCAATGCATTAATGAGCCAACATCACGTCTGTCGCAAAATAATTTTAACTTCTGCTCATGCAACTCGTAGTATACAGTACTCAAAGAACTTAAATCATGCATGTTCCCTGCAATATTCAATTGCATTATTGAATTCTATTCTAAGTTGCTCATGCATTGCTCATTGCATATTTTTTCTTTGTCTTCTTTTGTATTTTTTTGTGTCTAAAGGTCTATTGCAAAGTGCCCCATGTGGTGCATTGGATTTAAACGAAAAGGTGAAAATCGTCAAATAGAGGGTTACATTTCTAATAATATGGTGCATGGAAGAACACGAAGAAATGTTCAAAAGATGCCAGCAATTCGCTTTAGAAACATGCATGGAGTTACAATAAAGTTACAGAATTACAAAATTGGTCGCAAACGGGGACGACTCAGCAATAGACAATTTATATGCACTGAATCGACCATCATTTGATTCAGAACAAACAATCAAGGGGTGACAGAATTTGAACACTAATTAATATCCTAGGAATCCAAAGCATAAGAGTAAAATAGATATTATTCCATCTTAAATAGCAAATATATTGCCTATGCTGTGTTTATAAAGTGTCACTATAAAAAGATATAAATAACTAAGAGTTAAAGACACAGACAGGAAAAATAACTTACCAAAATGATTTGCTGGAAAAGTATACGAATGTGCTGTGAAACAGTCAGTCTAAGAAACAGAGAATTGTGTTAAGTGATTATATTATCCATAGGAAAAACAAATATGTCCATGTCAGAAACTTGCATGGCCACGTACTTGGCTTGTCATATAGCCAAAATAAGAATATGCTTGCATTTTGTATTTAAAAGTCATCTAAAGCACAGTAGCAGCAATGAGGGAGGGACTCTATCGCACTTAAAACTTTATCGTGTTTTTTAAAACAGAATCTCTCAAGAATTTTGATAGGCAGACTATTTACAGGTGCATTAGGTGCGTAGGTGCGAGATTACACCCTTTCAAGATATAAGGGTTCAGAGTTATATAACCTAAGGATCCAAAGATCCAATGTTTCAGTGCCCTCCCAATGCATTAAATGAGCCAACATCACGTCTGTCGCAAAATAATCTTAGCTTCTGCTCATGCAACTCGTAGTATACAGTACTCAAATAACTTAAATCATGTTCCCTGCAATATTCAATAACATCATTATTGAATTCTATTTTAAGTTGCTCATGCGTTGCTCATTGCATATTTTTTCTTTCTCTTTTTTTGTATTTTTTTTTGTGTCTAAAGGTCTATTGCAAAGTGCCCCATGTGGTGCATTGGATTTAAACGAAAAAATGAAAATCGTCAAATAAAGGGTTACATTTCTAATAATATGGTGCATGGAAGAACACGAAGAAATGTTTAAAAGATGCCAGCAATTCGCTTCAGAAACATGCATGGAGTTACAATAAAGTTACTGAATTACAAAATTGGTCGCAAACGGGGACGACTCAGCAATAGACAATTTATATGCACTGAATCGACCATCATTTGATTCAGAACAAACAATCAAGGGGTGACAGAATTTGAACACTAATTAATATCCTAGGAATCCAAAGCATAAAGTAAAATAGATATTATTCCATTAAATAGCAAATATATTGCCTATGCTGTGTTTATAAAGTGTCACTATAAAAAGATATAAATAACTAAGAGTTAAAAACACAGACAGGAAAAAAAACTTACCAAAATAATCTGCTGTAAAGTATACGAATGTGCTGTGAAACAGTCAGTCTAAGAAACAGAGAATTGTGTTAAGTGATAATGTTATCCATAGGAAAAACAAATATGTCCATGTCAGAAACTTGCATGGCCACGTACTTGGCTTGTCCTATAGCCAAAATAAGAATATGCTTGCATTTTGTATTTAAAAGTCATTTAAAGCACAGTAGCAGCAATGAGGGAGGGACTCTATCGCACTTAAAACTTTATCGTGTTTTTTAAAACAGAATCTCTCAAGAATTTTGATAGGCAGACTATTTACAGGTGCATTAGGTGCGTAGGTGCGAGATTACACCCTTTCAAGATATAAGGGTTCAGAGTTATATAACCTAAGGATCCAAAGATCCAAAGTTTCAGTGCCCTCCCAATGCATTAATGAGCCAACATCACGTCTGTCGCAAAATAATTTTAACTTCTGCTCATGCAACTCGTAGTATACAGTCTCAAAGAACTTAAATCATGCATGTTCCCTGCAATATTCAATTGCATTATTGAATTCTATTCTAAGTTGCTCATGCATTGCTCATTGCATATTTTTTCTTTGTCTTCTTTTGTATTTTTTTGTGTCTAAAGGTCTATTGCAAGTGCCCCATGTGGTGCATTGGATTTAAACGAAAAAATGAAAATCGTCAAATAAGGGTTACATTTCTAATAATATGGTGCATGGAAGAACACGAAGAAATGTTCAAAAGATGCCAGCAATTCGCTTTAGAAACATGCATGGAGTTACAATAAAGTTACAGATTAACAAAATTGGTCGCAAACGGGGACGACTCAGCAATAGACAATTTATATGCACTGAATCGACCATCATTTGATTCAGAACAAACAATCAAGGGGTGACAGAATTTGAACACTAATTAATATCCTAGGAATCCAAAGCATAAGAGTAAAATAGATATTATTCCATCTTAAATAGCAAATATATTGCCTATGCTGTGTTTATAAAGTGTCACTATAAAAAGATATAAATAACTAAGAGTTAAAGACACAGACAGGAAAAATAACTTACCAAAATGATTTGCTGTAAAAGTATACGAATGTGCTGTGAAACAGTCAGTCTAAGAAACAGAGAATTGTGTTAAGTGATTATATTATCCATAGGAAAAACAAATATGTCCATGTCAGAAACTTGCATGGCCACGTACTTGGCTTGTCATATAGCCATAATAAGAATATGCTTGCATTTTGTATTTAAAAGTCATCTAAAGCACAGTAGCAACAATGAGGGAGGGACTCTATCGCACTTAAAACTTTATCGTGTTTTTTAAAACAGAATCTCACAAGAATTTTGATAGGCAGACTATTTACAGGTGCATTAGGTGCGTAGGTGCGAGATTACACCCTTTCAAGATATAAGGGTTCAGAGTTATATAACCTAAGGATCCAAAGATATAAAGTTTCAGTGCCCTCCCAATGCATTAATGAGCCAACATCACGTCTGTCGCAAAATAATTTTAACTTCTGCTCATGCAACTCGTAGTATACAGTACTCAAAGAACTTAAATCATGTTCCCTGCAATATTCAATTGCATTATTGAATTCTATTCTAAGTTGCTCATGCGTTGCTCATTGCATATTTTTTCTTTGTCTATTTTTGTATTTTTTTTGTGTCTAAAGGTCTATTGCACAGTGTCCCATGTGGTGCATTGGATTTAAACGAAAAAATGAAAATCGTCAAATAAAGGGTTACATTTCTAATAATATGGTGCATGGAAGAACACGAAGAAATGTTCAAAAGATGCCAGCAATTCGCTTTAGAAACATGCATGGAGTTACAATAAAGTTACAGAATTACAAAATTGGTCGCAAACGGGGACGACTCAGCAATAGACAATTTATGCACTGAACCGACCATCATTTGATTCAGAACAAACAATCAACGGGTGACAGAATTTGAACACTAATTAATATCCTAGGAATCCAAAGCATAAGAGTAAAATAGATATTATTCCATCTTAAATAGCAAATATATTGCCTATGCTGTGTTTATAAAGTGTCACTATAAAAAGATATAAATAACTAAGAGTTAAAGACACAGACAGGAAAAATAACTTACCAAAATGATTTGCTGTAAAAGTATACGAATGTGCTGTGAAACAGTCAGTCTAAGAAACAGAGAATTGTGTTAAGTGATTATATTATCCATAGGAAAAACAAATATGTCCATGTCAGAAACTTGCATGGCCACGTACTTGGCTTGTCATATAGCCAAAATAAGAATATGCTTGCATTTTGTATTTAAAAGTCATCTAAAGCACAGTAGCAGCAATGAGGGAGGGACTCTATCGCACTTAAAACTTTATCGTGTTTTTTAAAACAGAATCTCTCAAGAATTTTGATAGGCAGACTATTTACAGGTGCATTAGGTGCGTAGGTGCGAGATTACACCCTTTCAAGATATAAGGGTTCAGAGTTATATAACCTAAGGATCCAAAGATCCAAAGTTTCAGTGCCCTCCCAATGCATTAATGAGCCAACATCACGTCTGTCGCAAAATAATTTTAACTTCTGCTCATGCAACTCGTAGTATACAGTACTCAAAGAACTTAAATCATGCATGTTCCCTGCAATATCCAATTGCATTATTGAATTCTATTCTAAGTTGCTCATGCGTTGCTCATTGCATATTTTTTCTTTGTCTTCTTTTGTATTTTTTTGTGTCTAAAGGTCTATTGCACAGTGCCCCATGTGGTGCATTGGATTTAAACGAAAAAATGAAAATCGTCAAATAGAGGGTTACATTTCTAA